GAATTGTACCACTCTATTTGATGTTAAAACACATGAATCTGAGCCTCTGATTGAACCAGATTAATTCGTCATAATGGGTATATCGGCTACTGTGAGGATGCCTTGATATTTTCGGTATGATCAGTATCATTTCATTTCTTGTAATTGATGTATGATGAGCACATTCTTGTGTCCCTTTTTGAAAAAGATAAGTTCCTTATATAGCTACTAAAGTGACTGAGTGAATAGTAATAATAATAAAGCAGACGATAATAACGCCATGAAATACTTGGAGTGGATATAGACAGCGATTGTTCTCCGTCACAATCTTATACTTCACCGAGCTGCAAAAATCAGAAGACAAAGACTGGCATGTGACTATAAGGAAGACCATTGTATACAGTAATTGAAAGTAAACATTTTTTTTATAGAGGCAATATGCATTGCTTTTATATTCATCCAAATGACCCGTTAAGAAGATAGAGAAAATCACTCATGTACCTAAGTTTCGTAAGTCCTAGCATCCATCAAAAAAAACGTATAACATTAGAAGGAATGACGAGCTATAAGTTAATTTCATATGTATGCAAACCCAAAAAAGAGTATCAAAACTGTACATTGTCAAAGAAGAGGCAGGCGAAAATGAGGAAAGGAAAAAACATGTGATGGTCCTAGATTCTGACATTTGACCATAAGCATTTAATAATGAGGTCAGGTGATCTCATCAGTGCTAGGTTCCCGACCATATGCGTTCATCGTGCATTCGCTCTCAAGTTTGTGAAGAGTGCTAACTAAAAGTTGATGCATGAAGATATAATCTCTTCTGTTATGCACATGAAATGAAGGCATTTAGTTTTTTACTTTCAGGTCGGTAAACAAATAAATACCAAACAACCCTTACTTAAAATTTATTTTAATAAAAATCGGAGTTAAGTTTGAATATTTTGTGTAGTAGACTTATTACTTGTCCCTCTATAAGTAGTCAAAATCGAGTAACTAAAACATTACACATTTCGAAGTTTCAGAATAAATATTGGCAGAACTTTCTCATAATGAAAGACAAATTTATTGTTAAACAGGAGATATACATGAAAAAGGATGAACCTTCTTTTTCAATTCTCAATCGAAGATGTAACCAAAAGTTTGTCAAGCTTTGATTTCATATTTTCAGTGGGAAAGGATGTAGGTGGATCGAAGGTCATCGAGTGTACGGTATTCATAATCATTACTTGACATTCATTAGAACCCAGTCTGTATTTGTTTTAAGTCTTAAGCTTCATATATTGCCCTGCAATGGAGAAGTAAATTAACAGAATGAGTGAAACTATTTGTGGCTATTCATGGTTTTTATTGTAAGTCAGTTGTCATTTGAGAAATTAGTGTAAATGAATTAATGACAAGCATCTAGTTCATCCCACAGTCATCATTTGGTAGACAGCTTTTTCAATCCTGAAGCAGTTGGTTTTTAAAACGAACGTGAACTGATAGAGGTAGGGAAATGATAATCATGGGATTCCGACTAACTGGCTTATTGGTAATGTTCTTTCCGCGAAACCTGCAATTCTTGCAGTCACCCCCTGGTAGAGTCACAAGTGTGCACCGCTGGACAGTTCCACACCAGGAAGAAATAGCTATCCAGTGCTTGGAAGTTTCTAATGGTTCCCCAGCTGGTGTTAGTTTTTAATGAATTCAAACTTGAAATCAGTGAAATTCCCAAAAATCTCTAAATTGAATTACATTTACTTATTGTTGAATTACTTATATGATTATGACTAACATGTTCAAAACAGGTTAGCCTATGATGTAACATGAAATATCTTTCATTCTCATATAACTAAAGATTGATTATGTTTAAAACTGATTAACTGGGGAAAAAACCAAGTGAGCACAAGGTACTTGTTTGTAGTAACATTTCAGTTTATCAATACTTAGCGGTAAAAAAATTTAGCATGACATCAAATGTGTTCACGACTAAATGGTTTTAGATTTCAATTTAACTAAGAAATGGTATTTACTCCTTCATATACTAACAATTATTCCTAACGGTTTTCAGGCTCTCTTGATTTCTTTTAAAAGTCTCTTTCATTTGTCATTGAATGTTTTGTAGTTTCTCTATGTTTTGACTTTTAATAATAATAATAATAATAATAATAATAATAATAATAATAATAATAATAATAGTGGTTTCATACTTAGACTAGCCACTTTTCCTCAAAATTCTTCCATTAGTGACGAAAAAGTGTCACCACAATTTAGTTCGTGACAGAAAATCTGAGAAGATACACATAAATCGAACCTCTGGCTTCAACTATAATTATTATCTTCTTAAATGTCCCTTGGTTTCCTAGTGGAACATAAGGCTTCATTAACACATAGCTATTTCACTCTCTCCTCTTCTCGACACTCCTTTCAACCTGGCTCCACCACAGCCCACAACCTCTCATTTATTACTCACACAATCTCCTACATGTCACCCTCACCTGGGACACCCAACTCATCATTTCCCATGTGCGTTCCACTCGACAGCCTGACCTGCCACGTGATGTCTCCGAATGGTCTTCTCAGTGTATGCCTGATCCAATGCATCTCCACTTCCTTCCTCCAGTGCATACTTGTTGAGAGATAACTTCTTGCTTCGTTGGTTCATTGGCATTCAGCGTGAGTGCGTTCCTTGTTGCTTATTCTTATTATTCTGGCCATGTGAGCTTGATTAACGAGCCGGCGTAGGTGGCAGTTGCTGATGAATATCTGCAGTATGTTGGCAGTGATTTTCGTGATGCGCCAAGTCTGTGAACCATATAGAAGCAGTGATTTGAGTGAATTGGTGTTGAAAATCCGGATCTTGTTCTTTATGGTCACTGGAGTGGAGTGGAGTAGAGTGAAGTGCAGTAGATCTCCACGACACTGATTTGAGATTAATGAAGGAAGGTTTGTCTTGCCGTCTTTCCGATGCTGATTTTGACATTCTCATGTGTGCCTGTGCTGTCTGTAGTTGAGTGGATGCTGGCTAGTTAGGTAGGTAGGTAGGTTAGGGGTGGTAGGTAGGTAGATAGGCAGGTAGGTAGCCAGGTAGGTAGGTGGAAACGACAACTTCCTTCAAATTTCTCCCGTCGACGGTGATTAGTGCTTGTCGTTGTTGTCACTGTTGTTGGTTGGTTATCTTCGTCACCTCTGTCGTCTCTACGCTCACTTGGAGTTTTGTCTTCGCTTCCTCATCTCTTCTGTTAACTTGTTGGTTTTCGCTTGTAGATCTTCGAGTTTGTGCGACAGGACATTAGACATAAATGGTCGTCAGCGAGATCTAAACCTTCTAGGGTCTGTTTACCTGTCAAACAGCGTATACCTATCTTCTCGCTCCACACAGTTTGTTGCATGATTCAGTCAACCACAATCAGGATGGTGATCGGTGATAGTAGGCGGCAACCTTGTCTTACTCCTTCCTGTCTTCACTTCTAAGGTATCACTGATTTTTCCATTGTGAATCACTTGGCATGTAGCATCATATATCATATAGCTGTTGAATGAAGTTGATAAAGGTTTGTGGCAATGAAACAGTAGTGTTGAAGCAGTTTCCAAATTACTTCTCGATCGACGCTATCGGAGGCCTTTTCAAAGTCGATGAAGTTGAGATAGAGAGTTGAGTACAATTCTATGCCTCGAAGGGGCTTGAGAATATTTATGATCCCTGCTTGCCGAAATAAAGAACATCATAACTGGAAATGTTCTCCTGACAATAAAATATTCTCATACTTTGTTGTTTTATGAGGATTTTATTTCTGAAGTAGTATTCCTCATGGCTGATATAATTCATAGAATCATTGGAAATCTGGGAGCACTGGACAACAATTTTATCCGAGTATGATGCTCGTCAACACTATGCACACACAACTCTATCAGGGTACTTAAGAGGAAACAGGTATTTATTTTTACCAGGTTTTCAGTGGTTATCCAACTGATGTCAATCCGTAAGGAATACTACTTTAAACATAAAATTCTCATATATCAGAAAGTATAAAAATATCTTGTTACTTATTAGTTATATTAGGACTTAAAAATCAAATTTGATGAATTCATCTACATTGACACCAGTGTGGAGATCTGCACTCAGCATAAAGAACAAGATCCGGATTTTCAACACCAATTCACTCAAATCACTGCTTCTATATGGTTCACAGACTTGGCGCATCACGAAAATCACTGCCAACATACTGCAGATATTCATCAGCAACTGCCACCTACGCCGGCTCGTTAATCAAGCTCACATGGCCAGAATAATAAGAATAAGCAACAAGGAACGCACTCACGCTGAATGCCAATGAACCAACGAAGCAAGAAGTTATCGCTCAACAAGTATGCACTGGAGGAAGGAAGTGGAGATGCATTGGATCAGGCATACACTGAGAAGACCATTCGGAGACATCACGTGGCAGGTCAGGCTGTCGAGTGGAACGCACATGGGAAATGATGAGTTGGGTGTCCCAGGTGAGGGTGACATGTAGGAGATTGTGTGAGTAATAAATGAGAGGTTGTGGGCTGTGGTGGAGCCAGGTTGAAAGGAGTGTCGAGAAGAGGAGAGAGTGAAACAGCTATGTGTTAATGAAGCCTTATGTTCCACTAGGAACCCGAAGGACAAATAATAATAATAATAATAATAATAATAATAATAATAATATGCCACTATCCAATATATATAACAGTTGTTATCTGAAAATGAACTGTATGCATGACCATAAGCATTTCAATATATGTGTTCAGATTCGTAATTAGAACTAAGTGGGTGTTGTCCATTTAAAACCAGTCACTTCAATGATGTGTCATACATTTTTTATATCTTGTGCCATACCTAAGTCAAACTGTAGGTTTTCATTTGTAATAAATGTACGTGGTTGGAATAGTTAATTATTCATTAACTTGTTAGATGATTCAATGTAAAATGCTTTTTCTATTATCACCACAATAATTTATGCATAATCATCATGATAAACGCATGTTAATGAGAACATTCTACATACATGTGACCAGTTATATAACAATATAAATCGTCTTACTTCATATTATCTCAAATACTGTTATCACAGTCATCAATTGAACAATGATACTAACAGTGTGAATAGCTCAACTGTTTATTTGTTTGAAAATTACCTGTTTCTTTTATAACAGGGTTGCTAAATGCTTGGTTGGAACAAATGGATTCTGTATTGTTTAACACTGTTCAACACCCTTTATTGGGTAATTCGAATAATAATAATAATAATACTTACAATTATTATACTAAATTTATCATGGAAACTGATATTGGATACCGATATGCTTAAAATCTAATGTTTATGTTTTCTTATGTAGATCTCTGGATGCATAGCGTTAAGCAATGGAATTTATGAATTCACCTACAGTGATTATTATTTCCTGAGAGGAAAATATGCTCTTGCTTTATTTAATGGTAAGCTTATCTAGGTGTAGATGAACTTATGAAAGTGAATACTTTAATAATGTTAGTAATTACATTTAGAAATTATTTAGTAATAAATAACACTGGAATAAGGCGAAACAACTTGTCTGATATAATGCCTATCGTTTTTTAACTGTCTGTAATCAGTTTCCTCATTGAGGCTTATTTTCAACCTCATTCGATTAAATGCTAAAGTGTTCATCAGTTGACAGATATTTTAACTGAATTAATTTATATCACTCTGAAATTATTTTGCTTTATCCCTATAGACATTTCCTTTTTCATTGTATAAAACAGGATCCTATGTAACATGTACATGTGGATTATTTATCCTTATTACTAGTCCATTAGGATGGGCTGGAATTCTGTCAAAATCAAGGAGTTTGTTAGTACTGGTAAGTTCAATGATTTCATAATTTTGCCATTAATAGTAATTTAATTAAAAAAAATTCCCATAATCATAATTAGAAGACATAAGCGAGTAATATTGTTTTCAATTAGCTCTCGACCTTGGTCAGAAAAAAACCTAATCAATGACTTCAAAGATAAATTCAATTTCCATCATCTTTGACTTTCTGCTTCCTTTTCACACATTTTTTGCTTAGACATTGATTATCTACACATTTCATCCTTTAGTATAACGTAACGTTTGGGTTATTTATTTGATATAACACTCAGTGATACAGTATAGTTTACTGGATGATGTTTGGAGCAGAGTTTATTGCTAATAATCATATCAAAGTAATCATACGACTTTCGAACTTCCTTTATATAGTTCAACGGTTCATTCATTTAGTTTAATGGTAATGAAATTTTTTATGTTTCTGCAACATATCATTCTTGTTACATAAACGGTCTACCACAGTGCCCAAGTTTTTCCCTTACACTATGTAACTTTTGTTTTTTCTAAGTTTTTACCGACATTAATTGTCTAAATGTTTACAGTACCATATTGTTCCCATTATCCTTATTATCACTTAGATAAATATTATTATTGCTATTATTGTCTAGACACCTACTACTTATATGCTCCATCTCCTAGTTACAACAGCCTAAATAATCCAATATGATTGATTTAATGTTTTATATATGAGAAAATTTATATATATTAGCGTAAAGCTTAATGAGAGCTAATTGAAAAGTGTTGTTCGCTTATATGTCTTCTAATAATTTAATTGTCTGAGAACAAATATCAAACTGAAACCGTTGGCAGTGAACGCATTCAGTAAGCAGCAACGTACGACCTGGTATTACTGCATAATGGTACTAGAGGGCACACTTCATATCAGCACATCAAGCGGGAAGGCACTAAGATGAAAGATATAGAAATAAAGGAGAAAGTATTGATTAGATACTGGAGAGCAACCTATTTCATGAGCTGACTGAATTCTACCGATGAGGTTCACCAATATGATGCACTTTAATGAATGTCAGTTGATTGGGGGTAATCGGTAGGAAGCCTTGTGTCACCTCGGCTTTGTACTTATTGGCGCTCGTCATCAAGGTGTTTCGGAAGTCTCGAGGGAACTGATATCCCCTGTGAAATAAGAATCAGTGTCATCCAGTGTAGTACTTCATGATAGATTTTGATTGGCACTGAGGACTAGACAATGTGAAATTGGCTGCCCTCCAGTGACCGACCGAGGTATCTAACTCAGGAGGTGACTCGCGACTCGAGTAGCTCAGTGCTAACGTGGCTAACTACAACACTATATAACGCGGGTTGGAACTTTACAGAGGACGTCAGTACCCTCGAGGTTGCAGCTAAGTCTTGGTGACGATTAGTAACAAGCCCAAAACCTAGGTTCAGAGCTTCTAACTGGTTATCTCCAACCAACTATCAAGGAATAAAGTGGTAGAAAGTCATAAAAAGGGAAGAGGAGTGAATGCAAAAACTATGAAATTCGGTATGGCTACCTAGATTTAGAGAGTGAGTATCTACGCCACTGAGACCAGTTCCAAGCCATATCACTCAGAGTATCCGATCATCGATTTGTGTTTTCACGTGAACCCGAGCCACGACGTTTACTTTTTGCCACATGGCTGGGGACAGAAGTTAGACTTTTCGAACTGGTGCCATGTTTTAGATTGGTCGCCTCTCATCTTTCTCCAGGCTAAATCTACTTCAGGTAAAATTGCTCCATGTGGCAGATGCTGACTAGGCTTGCGTAATACATGTCCGAGGCAGCGAAGTCTATAAATATTCACAGGCTTATCAATTTACTTACCACTTGTACCTAAACCTCCAAGCTTGACTTCGTTGATAACGTGCTGGTATTAAGAAAGATGGTCTATGTTACCAAGAAAATAGCTGTCGAAAGCTTCAAGTCTTATCACGACCTTCTTTATTGGCATGTTTTACTACCAAAAAGTAGAACAGGGGGAACTGTACCGTACTACACTCACCCCTAATATCCAGTCATATGTCATGGAGTAGCTTTCGGTGAAACGGATCATTCACTAACTTTACTATGACTCAAAATAAGAGCTTACAATGTTACTACTAAGCTAAACGAATCTGCATTGTGTCTCAACTGTTTTTATGTTGGGTAATCAGGAAGAATCTGTAAGAAATCCTGGATATATATATTTTATCACTTCTTAGAACGGTATATCTGCGATACTAAGGAAACTATAAGCTAATCCAATATTTGCCATCCAATACTGCTACCCTAACCATGATATGTACGTTGAAAGTGTCCTTATCACACTGACAGCTATAGCTATGATCATTTGCAGAGCATATAGATATTTTAGCCATTAGTAACTCGAAAGATTTCAGTCACAGTTCTATCACCATTCATAACTTTTTTGGAATAATTATTCACATATTTTTTATACCCTAAAACAAATACTAGGATACGTCAGGGATTTGAAAGTTCTCCAGTAAGAAAATCAGTAATTACTTTGCAAGTTTAACCAATGATCTTTAACCCAGTCGAAGAAAAACTTGGCATTTCTGGAAAAACTTTACTAAAATACTTATTATAATAATAATCTTTTTCTTGGGTTCCTGGTGGAACATCGAGCTTCAGTAGCACGTTGCCATTTCACTCTCTTCTCTGCGGTTTTTTGAAGCTGTTTCCACCACTGCCCACAAGTTTTAATTTCTTCCATATACCATCTCCTCCATATCACCCTCGGACTTCTTACTCGTTGTTTCCCATTTGGCTCCCACTAGAGGGTCTAGCCTGGCCTGGCCTGGCTCATGATGTCCTCAAACGATCCGCTCAATGTAAGCCCGATCCAATCCATCTCCACTTTTTTCTGCATATTTGTTAGGCGATAGGCAATAAAATACTTATGCATACTTATTTCAGAGCATAAGTGAATGCTTTTAGGATTTGCCGAGCGTTTCTAATTATCTTTATTTTACAGATAAATCGGGATTTTTAATTTAGAGGTAGTACTCATCATGGACTGACATCACTTGGGTAACCATTGGAAACCTGGGAGCACTCGACAGCTGTTTCGTCCTAGTATGGGACTACTCAACAGTATGCACCCACCACCCGACTAGAGGTCGAACTCATGACCTTCAGGTTTCACAGTGAACGCGTTAACCATCCAGCCACTGGGTCGGTTCCCAAGGGTTCACAATTTCCAAATTCTGTCAATTCACGATATAGTGTGACTATCACCCAAGGTCTTCAGTTAGCATTCACTTCACTTCCGACTGGTTGACCCCACAGGTCATGACTTCTCATTACAACTTTGTGATATCTATCTGGAAGCAAGTCACTAATGAGCACTCTACAGTAATGTATTTTTGAGATGAATGGAGATTTCAGAATGCATTACTGTAGACTGCTCACTAGTGATGTGCTTCCAGATGGATATCACGAAGTTCCAATGGGAAGTTGTGACCTATGGGGTCAACCAGTCGGAAGTGAAGTGGATGCTAACTGAAGACCTTGGGTGACAGTCGCACTATATCGTGAATTGACAGAAATAGGAAACTATGAACCATTGTGCTGTGACGCAGTGACTGAATAGTTAACACGTTTGCCATGGGACCTGAAAGTTTGGAGTTCGCTACCTAGCTCAGTCACCGTTGCTTACGACTGAGGAGTCCTATACTAGGAGGAAACAGTTATCCAGTGCACCCGGGTTTTCAGTGGTTCACCAACTGATATCAGTCCATGATGAATGCTACCTCTTTATTTTAATTGTTTATTTAAATTGGATAATCGGGAGCAATATATTGCCAGACATTCATCAACAACTGCCACCTACGCCGGCTCGTTAATCAAGCTCACATGGCCAGAATAATAAGAATAAGCAACAAGGAACGCACTCACGCTGAATGCCAATGAACCAACGAAGCAAGAAGTTATCTCTCAACAAGTATGCACTGGAGGAAGGAAGTGGAGATGCATTGGATCAGGCATACACTGAGAAGACCATTCGGAGACATCACGTGGCAGGTCAGGCTGTCGAGTGGAACGCACATGGGAAATGATGAGTTGGGTGTCCCAGGTGAGGGTGACATGTAGGAGATTGTGTGAGTAATAAATGAGAGGTTGTGGGCTGTGGTGGAGCCAGGTTGAAAGGAGTGTCGAGAAGAGGAGAGAGTGAAACAGCTATGTGTTAATGAAGCCTTATGTTCCACTAGGAACCCGAAGGACAAATAATAATAATAATAATAATAATAATAATAATAATAACATTGCCAGGTGTTGCTAATTAGCCGGTCAACTTTGATCCTAATGTTTTTGTAAGTCAGTATTCAGTTAGACATTTAAAGGTCTATAGACTGACGATAGTAAGATAAGTTACTCGTATTTTTAGTGTTCAGTGATTATAATTAACAACTAGGTTACAACTCATTGATTCACACTAAGATGATTTGTATAGTATCATGATTTCCAGAATTTAAAGCTTAACGATATCTCTGATATCCTGAATCGGTCATGTAAAAATAGTCACAACCAAACAATATGCTGTTTGTGAGGCAGTGTTCATCATAAGCCAATATTGTTTGGTAAACCATTGAAAACCTGGGAAAAATTGACAAATAGTTCATCTCAGTATGAGACTTTTCAATAACATGGACTAACAACCCCACCAGGGGCCGTACCCGAAACTTTCAGGTCTCGTGGTGAACGCATCAATCACTCTGACACTGGGTCGGAGGTCAGTTGTCCACAACTTCCTACTGCTGTCACTTCATGGACTGTCTGCTTCACTTTTGACTTCACAAGTTTCAGCTTCTCACTCAAACTTCAGAATATCTATCTTACAGCATGTCACTAATGAGCAGAGGGTAGAAGTTTAGTTTAAGGTATATGGGTATTTTACTTTCCCCATGGTCCATTGCTTCAAGGTTTTCAATGGTTTTCAAACTAGTTTCAGTCCTTGATGAATACTACCTTGAGAGTTATTTAAGTTGAGAAACATCGTGTTGATGATTCTGAGCAGTGACTTAATGTAAGAAAGAAACAATCTTCACAGAACATGATAATCTTCAGTTCAAGTAGTCCTGAAAGTTCAACAGTGTTGGTGATGACTTCTGGGGTTGTAACTGAGATACAGTTTTGAAACTGATCACATTATTTGACTTATGACTGAAAATATATCTTTCATATCATCAAGAGATTATGGGTGCCATACACCTCAATGTTCGAATATCATAAATGCATGAAAGTATGATAAGTGCAACACAAAAATTCAAAAGTAGTGAAATGAATTACTCAAGTTAGGAATTAAGTAATACGGTCCACAGTCAAACAACACTTACTATTAACTAGTAAGGCGTGTTAAGATAATTTATAACTGGTAGAAAAGTATATAGAACAGGTTGCTAGGTGATACTACGAAATAACTGTCAGGGAAATGTATCTTCGGTAAGTCAGACAATCAATTTACTTTTCATCGTTTAATTCCCATATCTTTTTCTGGGTGTCTTATTGTAACAATTTTCCCGTGTGTAGTATAAAGGTTAGTTTATGGATGGATATTTTCTTTACAATAACGGCTAACATGTATTGGCAAACAAGATGCATTTATTACGACAACACTTATGACTATCAGAACAAGTGAGTTGTAAAATACGCTCATTCTCATCAAACAAACTTTGGAAGGAATTTTGCTTCATAAAAGAAGAAATAGAAAGTAGAGAATTTACGTTGCTAGATGTTCTTATTGGTAGGACACATGATGAAAGCTTACCGACTGAAATGTACAAGAAAGTGACATTCATCAAGTTGTGAACCACAATAGTATCAACCCAACCTCTCAAAGGAAGAGTTATATACAACCACTATTCGCGTGTATCAAGAATCACTGTAGAACTCAACAACTGCCGAAGTCAGAAGATGATCACCTTTACAAGGCGTCCAGAGACAATAATTATCCAGTCAACTTCGTTAAGAAATGCCTATCTACAGAACACGTGTTAGGACAATCATCTCCCACAACCTACAGCATACCATTCATCAAAGATTTTTCAGAAAGTGTCAGGTGGGTACTTCATTCATTTTGCATTGGCATGGCATATAAACCAACCAAACCTTTACTCATCCGTTGCCCAAAGAAGCCAAAACCAGTACAGTCTACAGAATTGGTTGCTAGGGCTTTCGAAACGACTATGTTGGACAATGCAGCCGTCGAACAGCCAAAAGAATTTATCAGTAGCAAATTGCAATCAAACGAGATGATGTTTTCTCATTGATACCAATGCATGTAAGTGAACACAACCTCAACTTCTATTAGGATAACGCAGGGAATACTGCAGAAAGCAAGTTGAAAAGTCTGTGAGAGAGTTCCCGGAAGCATGCTACTTCAGTCCGTAGATGATCAAAAGACACATGGGTGTTGACCCAATATACAGGCTACTAAGAAAAGATCAACCGACTGGTAACCAAACAATCAATCACTTAAGTTGTTATTCATCGAAGACTGACATCAGTTGGAGGAACAAAGGAAACCTGGGAGCACTGGACAGCTGTTTCGTCCTAGTATGGGACTCCTCAGCAGTGCGCACCCACGACCCCACCAGCAGGGATCGAACCCGTGACCTTCAGGTTCCGCGACCAGCTTAAAAATATTTCCAAATCTCCACAACCCTCTCAAAAAAAAATCAATCACTTAATCAATAATTAGGCATTTGGTCAACAGCATAACTCAGCTGACGAATTCACCGTCTGATACCCGCCAATTGCAAAAGTTTATCAGCATACGGTAACCGATGTAACTCACAAGCCTCAATTACTGATCGAGCACCATCCATATGGTGTGCAACTTGAGCTAAGTGACATAACACTGAGGTAGACTACCTTTCATGTTAGAAATCAGTCGAACAGAAGCCCTGAATCTATGATTGATGTTGTGTTATGAAGCCTGATTTAGTTAACATACTTTAAACTTGGTCGATAAACTTCATTCTCTAATTTGGAATGGATAGTGTGTTAGTAAAAAGTACTGACTGATGTACGTGACTAACGACTACGTATCCCATTCAGTAGTAGTGATTGGACTGATTTCATATTCAAATTATTTACTTGATTAATGACACCGAGTTTATGATATACTATAGTCTTAGTTTGTTAGTTCTCAAAGTAAACCATGGTAGAATTTCATAACCAAGTTTCATTTTATTAAGGCAATTTCATTTAAGAATGTGCATTCTATAGAAACACTTCATTTCAACTTTAGGTTTAATCAGTCACTATCATACAGGTATTATGCATAAAAAGTGAACAATTAAATTACGAATCACAGTGATTGCTTCTAAGTACCAGGAATTAAGTCTTACAGACAATTTTTTATGAAAACTACTGAATTTTTAAATTTTTGTTTCTTATTCACAGTTCTGTATAATACTAGTACTTAATGGAATCTGTTTATTGGGCTGTGGAATATGGTCATCAAAGTATTCTGAAAATGTGAGTAACTCTATGTTTCTTTATTCTCAATAATAATGACAATTAAATTCATTCTGTTCTTTCTATACTGATCCATTTACATTCCTTTGCATTTTGTAGAATTATTTTGAATTGGAAGAAATGTTTAATAGATTATTGAAAAATTACGATGAAAAACGTTTAATGGTCAATGAAGATACCAAATTCTTTAATTATCTCCAGTATAAAGTAAGCAAACTATGATTATATTAACAAAGTGAAAAAATTTAAAGCAGTTGTTCCCTATGATAAATTTAAACAGCGTAATGAAAAGACGAAGATTATCTGAAACATATCATGATGTATTAACACTATACATTTCGAACAGTCTTATCATACATGGACTTGTTGAACTATTTATGTGAAAATTTATGAAAAGGGTCAATGAAGTTAATAGGAAACATAGGGAATAGGAAGGGAGGGGAAAAGAAAAAAACGTTACTCTTGGTATGAAAATTAAAATCAATACTACCAAGGTAGGTTCAATGTGAGTACGAACTGCTTTGTATAAAGGGGGTTTGAATTTATGGATGCCAAGAGCTTCAATAAATTTAAGCACTCAGCTCTGATCACTCCTATGTATTACTTTAAAGGTTGTTTTCATGTCTATCCTATAATTAGTTGTTTCTATTATATGCTTAACGATAGACGAAGATGGATGTTTATCACCTGCACCTATCGGATCTCTTGAGGTCATTTGTTTCTTGCTTCCAATTCCTATGTTTCCCATTAACTTCATTGACCCTTTTTCGTGAATTTTCACAAAAACAGTTTGGCAAGTCCATGTATGATCAGATTGTTCGAAATGTATAGTGTTAATACGTCGCATGTTTCAGATAATCTTCGCCTTCTCATTATGCTGTTTAAAGTAAAGAAAATTTTTCCGATGAACAGAGTTAACCTTTAGCCATAGGAGTTTTAAGGAAATAAGGTTAGAAGACAGTCTTGTAAGTATGTTCAGGTTTATCAACAATAAACTGACCACAGCTTGGAGGCTTGGAGGAAGTTCATAATCCATATAGAAATCAAGTAATCTTCGTCTCACCGATATGATCAGTAATTTTAAGAATTGACTATGTTGTTTCAACTCATTCAGTTTGGAAGTGAATTATGTACGCTAATAGATCGTCAAATTGTAGCCAGTTGTATCCACTGAACTTCAGTGTTTTTTGGAAGTCCATCAAGTGAAGAGTGTAGTTTAGTAGATAAGCGAAGTGTCAACTGTAAGTAGGAAAATGACTACAAGTTAAGCAATAACAAGACTAACTACTGTGCAACTAGACTTTATGACGAAATTTCATTTGTTAGGAAATGAGTTACTATCTCCCTCCGCCAAGCTATGAGCATTACAATTTATAACTTTTTTAAAGATGACAACTTTTGTTATGGTTTTTGACTTTTGAAGCTTAACTAAACTGGTGTGATCGACCAGTGTGGATTTATTTACTGTAAATCAATGATAATGAAAATATTTCTAAGCCAAGAAAGTTAGGTAATTTACTGAGTATTATGCATACATATGCTAATTAGAATTTCAAACAATTAGTTCCCTTTATAAACTTCGACAAAACAATAAGAAGATATAAATTGTCTGAATCGTGTAATGCATTTGCACAACAAATTTAGAACTATCTGATCACGCAGGTACTTGCCATGGGTATTTACATGAAAATTCATGAAAATTAAGGGTGAGAAAATGAAAAGAGGGTCAAGTAGGAAAGCTGAATTAAAGGTTAAAAAACAATATAAATCAATAGAGCAAAAAATGAGAGTACATCGAACTTGGTTTTCATAACTGAATTTACCAAGGAAGATTTATTGTGACAACAAATTGTCTACGAATATGCAAAGATGGTTTCAACTTCTTAATGGCTAAAGCTTCAACAAATTTAACGATCCTCCCCCGACACATTTTGTAAATAGGTGTAAAAGAAGTAGCCACATCAATCCTGCGACCTATCTCAACGATATGTTTGGCGATCAAGGAACTTGGATATCTGCTACCAACATTTGTGGGTTCAGGTGGTTTAATTTGCTTCTGAAGCCACTTTGGAATATGTCCCGAGGCTCTTACTTGCATGGATCTATGAGTCCTTCCTATGTATATGTCACCACAAGTACATTTGAATTGGTTGATACAATAGGATGTGACATTGTCGTTCACATGCTGTGAAGGTTTGGGGGAATATATGGGCTTTGTGGTTTCTATTAATCTAACTTCGGCTGTATAGTAAGTCCTTCTAACATTAGCTTTAAGTCTGTGCTTAAGCATTACACTTTGAGAGTCACCTTTGTAGGGAAGACAATAAAGACATCCTTCCTTGGTATAAAATGAAGACCTAGTTTTGGCGCTCTGATTATTTTGTGCTACCTAATAAATTTTGATGGATAGTTATTTTCCAACAACATATCAGTCAGTGTTCCTCTCTCATCTCCTAAAATATCCTCTGCTCATATTCGTTGAATTCTGCTGAGTAAGCATCTAACTAACGCTTGCTTGTACTGAACTGGACAAAAGCTACGATAATTCAAATACTGTTCTGTCCATGTGAGTTTTCTGTAGATAGATCGTTTTATGGATCCATTCTGCCTCCGACTAATTAATATATCCAAGAGTGGCAAATAGTTATCTTCCTCTCCTACACATGTCAATGATATGGTGTTCCGTACTTCGTTCAATCGATATCATTGAACTAAGTTTAGGAAGGATGTTTTTTCTAGTGGACTGGATGTAAATTACCTTGTACTCTCTGTTTCAAGACTTTTCAACTGCATTTAATTGGGTTGTCAATGGTGCAGTAAATAAGATTTTCTTCAATATCGGTCGAGCCGAATGACTACTAAAATATCTAATCAGATTTCTTTATTCTATGAGAAAAAAAATCATCTTTGTGGCTGATATAAAGAAACCTGACTGATTATTTTCGTGGTTGCGAGAGTGGCTTCTAGATTCACTCCCGGAGTTCCCTGTATGCTTCAAACTGAATCGTAGCTTTGGAACTTTTGCCGCTTTTGTTCAATAGACGATTACTCATTAACGGTATTGCAGTAAACGTGCTGTCAAATGATTTTGATCTGCCTTTCACTTTTGTTGTAGACTAAGCCTGATTTATTAAATGTTTTGACAGTCAGAGGACTAAAATAATCACTGGCTTTTGTACAAAAATATACGTCAATGTTAGTGATTTAAACTTGTGAATCATGACACATAGACAGAGGCAGAATTTCCCAGCATCAGTTGTTTACGTTTCAGAGGAACAAATTTCTGTCATGATCCGGTTATACTATCTGAGATATGATGCGCTTAAAAGTAAGTCAACCATAGGAAAAGTACTTGTCAAATTTGCCTGGATTCCTTCTCTAGCCTAGTATATTTATTAGTGAGCGCCAAGTCAGCAGATAAAAAAGGTGAATAGAATTGTAAGAAAAGTATCAGAAATTTATTTCTACAAATATGTTTGTCAACACGGTATTTCCATATAGATGCCTATCAATAAGTCGAATAAATACTTGCTTACTAGTCTTTTGTTTTCCCATTTATGGTCAGTGTCTTAATCCAATGTTGGTTTCAGTAGTCTGACTGTGTTGTATATAGATTATTTATATATTATTATTTGTCTCTTGGATTCCTAGTGGAACACAGGGCTTCACTCTCCACTCTCTGAAATCTTTTGAACCTGGCTCCATGACAGCCCATAACCTCTCATTTCTTCCTCAGACCATCTCCTCCATGTCACTTTTGGACGCCCAACTTGCCGTTTCCCATCTGGGTTCCACTGGAGTGTCTAGCCTGGCCTGGAGCATGATGTCCCCGAATGGTAGTTACGTATAGATGGGAAGTAAATTTTTGAAACATGGAAAACTAACAATTGGAAAACTTATGGTCTTTTAGGCACCAATGAATGTACCATCAGATTAAAAATATACCTGACTATTTTCCCTATGTTATTACGTACCATAAACGAAGTCAAAAGATTGTTTTGTTTCTTTTGTAATAGAAGCTCTAATTCTTAATTTTTTCGAACAAAATATGACTTCAAAGGAAAAAACTGCGATACACTGAGATTTCTTGGTAAAATTAGTAAAGGAATAAATTTTATTGATTGATACTTGTAATTCCCCCGTTTTTATAACGGGTCAAAATGATTGACTTCCGTTAGTAAACGTGCCACTATGCGGACATCTTGAAGTCAAGTAATTCAACCCAGTATAACAACGGGAAAATAAAAGTATCAACAGATAACAACTGATATCGGTTGCACAAGAGGTGACTCTAGTTTCTTAGTGGTCTGGTCGATACCTCTATAGCGTTTGTAGAGAGGATACCAGTTTCAAGTCTCACTGGTAACACCATCACTTACTGAGGTGAAGGTACATCCAACTGATGAGTCTCAAGTAGGGCGAAACGCGAATTCTGGATTCTACTGCTAACCATCACCAAGTAAAGCGCAACATAAGGAATAGATTTTGTTGACATTTCAAGGATGCTATCCTTATGGATAAAACCAACTACATTCTAGAAAAACCCTTGTTCAGTTATTGTAGTTTTTTTACAAAGACTGGGGGGAATAATGCTGATTAGCAATGAAAGGTATGAAATCTGAGAGCACAGATCCATTTCACTCTTCTCTGAATATCTAAAGTTAACGTGTGTTAGATTCTGAGTTTTGTAAAACATGGGGAAAAATATCAGTGGCTTGGATAGACAAACAGATCGACAAAACCAGCGTAGGATCACTCACATAAATGCACCGGTTCAAGTTGTAGTTATTCTAATCAGTAATTGCTTACCTTCATCCTTAAAAATTTCTACTGGCAAACCAACAGGTTTTGCTTTGCATCATTTCAGGTTCGATACAACTTTTTCAGTCCTACAAGAGTTGGAGTAAAGACGTCTGTTTCCTATTCAGGATCAGAATGGATGGTGAACAACTTAAGCTTTACTATGGGCCAGTTGCACTTTTTTTAATCATATCAAGTAGTTACGAGATGAATGTGAATAAACGACCAAAATATCTTGCTATTTCATCAGGAAAATATCTTACAGTTTTAGCATTTACTCCTTCTGAGAGTTATATTTTCGTTGTTGTATGTTGCTGAACTTACTACTGTGTCTCGAGGTATTCTTTATGATCAAAGAATAACCCTTATTATTCATTTACTTGCTGGTTAAGGTTGAAGTCACGAACACCATACCATACTGGTGCATATCCCGTTTATTTCCAAAATGGTCAAACAGTTAACTTTACTCCTCAGTGTTAACCTAGGTAAATTCATTTGGGGGATTTGTGAGGACTGATTGAGTTCAGAGTGGTATTCATCATGTACACCATTGAAAACCTGAGACCAATGGACCCATCAATATGGATTTCTACAGCATTGTGCACTCATGATCCCACCAAGTAAAACTGTCAATCGCATGCACCAAGAGGAAGCTTAACTATCCTATATTTTTATTAGGTTTGAATAATGAGCAAAAGAACTACTTAAAATTGGCTGCATAGGCTTTAAGAGTAATCCATTGTTAAACAATCAGACCTGAATTATTAGCTATTTTATGTTAGTTTAATACTCATATTTATAATTTTCTTCCATTATTTTTTATTAGCTTGATTGCTGTGGTAAATTAAGCGTTAAAGATCTATCAGATCACAAACCACTTTTAGCATGTGGATTAAAAGCTGCTGAAAAGAAAGTATTCAACACTAGTATTAGTCTTAATGATAATATGTTTTTAGGGTTGTTTGCTTAAACTCATTGGTTTAACAAAATCAGGACAATTTCGTACTGCTCTTATCAGTTTCTGTATAGCAGTTTGGCAGGTAAGTAAGATAAATGGTGCACTGTAATCAAATATTAATTATTTGTAACAATTTTATTAAATGTGATATAGGCATCGAAGGATTTATCATACCAGAAAGATTTTCTAGTATGATATATACAGGAATACAGAACTTTTCAAATATTCTTCTTAAATGTAAACGTAGTAAGGAAAAAGGCACTTTTGATTAGGAAATCTGTAATATCTTCACCCTTCAAAAGGGGTTTCTGAGACCTTTGACATCTGATAATATGTACAGTGATTTACAATAACAATAGATTGTAGATAGCTAGGCAACATTCGACTCCAATAAACAATTATTCTTATACAATAAAGGGGAACATATAATACTGAATTATTGAATAGACTGACTATTACACTGAAAGACACCTAACTAACGATAGTATCAACAGTAAAGCAGATCGATATATTTTAGTCTTGTTTTGTATGTGTTAAGATTACTCTTGAAAGCCATATTTGCACTATCAAGTAAACAATCATCATCAGATGTAATGATTATTGAATAAAACACTTGTGCGTCTATTTGGGCATTACTTTAACTGAGACAAAGTTGAACCTTTTTAAAATTAGGAGTTTACTGGTAAATAATAACTAAGTCTTCTTAAGCTTTCATGTTATTTTAATACCAGAAATCATTTGCAGAGGGTTAGCTAAAAAACGTTTTCTACTGATAATACCTTGGTATATCTATGACTTGGACAATTTTCCCAAAAGGTTAGTCGATTACTTCTAAATTGGTCTTTGAGATAGCAGTGATATTAAAGCTTATTACTGAATGTGACCATTTGATCTACATACTGCACGCACAGTATACTAGACCTAAATTCTTATGACAACGATATACTCATATTTTAGGAAGTATGAGTTATACAAGTCAATTTTGAGGTTTGTGGGGATTTATTTATTTATTTTAGGTTGGTATTCATCATAGACTGACAGAAGTAGGAAATATGGACCATTGGGTTCCGACTCATCGGCTTAACGGTAACGTGCTGGTCATAGAACCTGAAGGTCTTGGGTTCCAGCCCCAGTGGGCCGCGGCTATGGTTGCGCACAGCTGGGGAGTTCCATACTAAGACGAAACACTCCTCTAGTGCTCCCGGTTTTCCAAAGTTTCTCCAACTGTTGTCACTTTGTGATGATTACCAACATGAGATATAAAAGTAACCAACAAGACAAGGCTCACACTAACATTAAATTCATTGTGGAATATGAACGTGAAAAAGAGTTAAGTTTTTGAACCTCAACATGAGAAGAACAACTGATGGTAAGATCGAAAAGACCATCCACAGAAAAGACATATGGATTAAACAAAACCTGGACTATTACAACTTGTCTCCTGCCAACTACTGACGTGGGCTAGTCAAAATACTATACAGCAGAGCTAGGAAGTTATGTTCTACGAGAAAGTTAGAGGAAGAATTAAGCTTTAGTGTGAAGTGTCTCCTAGAGAATTGATATCCTAAGAGATTCATTAAGAAGCATCGAAAAGAACACATGTAGATAAATAAAAATCCAGCTGTGGAAAAGAAGGTTTTTATACACTTTGCATTCAACGGAGATACAATATCCAAGAGAATAGACACATGAATCAAAGAAGCACTGGGAGGGAACTTTCTTGTAGCTAATCCTATATCAGCATACATTAGCACGTGCTGGCTAAACTAGTCCGAATTGGAGAATTAATCTACGCATGTTACTTCCAACTATACTTATGAATTCATATGCGCTTGAGGTGGCAAGTATATTGGAAGAGAAGGGCGCCCATCCGGTTCGCTGAGCATAACTCCAAGAATCTCTGCTTGAAAGGAGGTAAAGCTCTAACCAGTGCAATTGGCAGATATCTTGAGGACACAAGACACCAGGTTGAAATGTCGAATGCTTTTAGGATAATAAACGTATAGAAAATGTCTAGATTGTTGCATTTCGCGGAAGTCATTGCAATATAACGCTTTTGACCTGACATTCGCATACACAAGTTGTGAATGGGGTTATTCTGTCACTAAACACGATTTGATTCTGTTTTCATTTCATTTCATTTACATAACTCTCAATTCATTTATTATTATTTTTCCTTTCTTACACTTCATACTTCTACACTTATTTCTCTTACACATTATATTGGATTGTCAATGATTTTGTTGTACAACTTGAGATTATTAATTTCTTAGTCTTGAAATATCTTGTCCTAATAACCATTGTACTTTTAGACTATATACAGTTGAAGGGTACTCATGAAATAAAATGATGCCATTTTATTCGATAAATTTCGTCCTTTTCCCTTTAATCAAATTTAACAAGAAATTGATCCTAAATGTAAACCTTGATTGCTTTTTTTGCATATTTATTACGTTTTTGAGGGGTTGTGGAGATTTGGAATTATTTCAAGTTGTTATTCATCGAAGACTGACATCAGTGAGGACAAATACTCAACGATGACATTGGGTGGCGGTCTGCGCTATATCGTGAGCTAACAGAAGTTGGAAATATGCAGCATCGGATTCTGACCCAGTGGCTCAATGGTAACGCGCTGGTCGCGGAACCTGAAGGTCGCGGGTTCGATCCCTGCTGGTGGGGTGGTGGGTGCGCACTGCTGAGGAGTCCCATACTAGTCGGACGAAACAGCTGTCCAGTACTCCCAGGTTTCCTTTGTTCCTCCAACTGATGTCAGTCTTCGATGAATAACAACTTGAAATATTTATTATGAACTAGATGAGAAACTGATCTAATTTAAGTGTAATAAGACACCGTCTATTTATCTCATTCCAAACAAAAGTTAAAACTTGTTAAAAAGTGTTTCTTTATGAATTTCCCATAACATTTCACTATTGCCTATGTGGGCAAACTACTTTAGTGTTGAAACAGTTAAAACTTTTTCCAGACATCAAATTTACTAAGTAGTTAAAGAGAAAACATTAATAAGATGCGTTATCCTTATGGCTGAGAATGATGGTGAATGACCAACCTACTGAGACAGGAAATTAACTGTTAAGGGACTGGTCCTTGAAGATTATTTTAGTCCCCCTGATAAAGAAAGAACACCCCGTTGCGTCTAAATCAACTAATTGGTAATACGGATAAACATTTGTACTTTAGCCTATTTTAAAGATGTACATTTTATGAAAACTTATTTCGATAGTGAAAATTGTAATTGATGTCGGTCAATGATGAATACTACTTCTAAATTAAAAATCCCCATTCATCTCAAAATACATCATTGTATAGTGCTCATTAGTGACTTGCTTCCAGATAGATATCACAAAGTTCTAATGAGAAGTCATGACCTGTGGGGTCAACCAGTCGGAATTGAAGTGAATGCTAACTGAAGACCTTGGGTGATAGTCACACTATATCGTGAATTGACAGAATTTGGAAATTGTGAACCCTTGGGAACCGACCCAGTGGCTGGATGGTTAACGCGTTCACTGTGAAACCTGAAGGTCATGAGTTCGACCTCTAGTCGGGTGGTGGGTGCATACTGTTGAGTAGTCCCATACTAGGACGAAACAGCTGTCGAGTGCTCCCAGGTTTCCAATGGTTACCCAAGTGATGTCAGTCCATGATGAGTACTACTTATATATATATATATATATATATATATATATATATATATATATATATATATATATATATATATATATATATATATATATATATATAGCGAAAAACCTCATCATGGAGATGAAAATACAGTGAAATATCATTTGTATAGCCATTGTTACTGTATTAGTATTTATTTTTTTGGATCTTAATGCACAAAAATCCCATTAGCTGTGATTGAGTTCAGTGATTCAGTTCCATTACAGAAAAAAAATACTTCAGCATTCAAAGAGTTGTTCTAATTTTTCTGATCCGAGTATTTATGATCAGTAAAGTTCAACCGTTTTGATTAAAAGCATACGTTATCTATATGCTTAGAAAATAGGCTAAAATAATTTTGCATATTTAAGGCAGATAGTTCAGGAAACTAGATGATAGAGGGTTTAAAGTTTATGCTTTGTGGCAATCAATAATGCTTGTATTCCAAGTTACGAAAATACAAGGCTATCAAGATGATAGTATTTGGATAAAATAAACAGATTCATATAATGGAGTGACTATAATTATGCCCTGCATTCCTCCCAGTCATGATCATTGATGGTGCACAAGTTTATTATAATGTCATAAAGGTAAAATCTAGGAAAGTAGGTGATTTAATAAGTTAATTATATGTCTTCACTGCTAAAGTGCACTCTACAAGATAGATGGATGGATACTTTAGTTTCCTAGACATTTCCCTTTTCCCCAGGTCAACTAAAAGTCACGAACCATAAGGACGGTTTCCAATTAGGCCCACAGGCATGAAAATAGTGTACGCAACAGACCTCCCTACTAACAGGGTGAAATAACAAATGTCCAGGGTACCTTCTCTTGCTTCCCTAGCAGGGATAGAAGTGAGTGCCTGGCTCAGGTTATTCTGTTAGGGTGGGCCATATCTCACACTCATCACTGTATTAATATCAAACCCTCTTCCCATTGCGGTTAGATGGCGGCAGTCAGACATTTCAGCCCTTACTGCCTAAGCGGTTGGTAGGTAACTCATCAAGTTCAAAAGTCAATCAGTGACTGGTTCCAAAGACTCATCCCCAGTCAGGATGGATAATAAAAACTTTATCGCTCTGAGTGTTCTATAGCGGGCATAGGGTGAAAAGATGGCTATCTTTTAATGGTTTTTCAGTTTCTCAGACGGTTTACGAGTCATACATAATTTTTTCTTGATAGAACTTTGTACTACTATGCTAATGGTTCTGTAATTTCTCATTAGCTCAATACCAGAGTTATACAGCATTCTGACCTTCAACGAAACGTGTAGAGTAAATCATGAAATTTGAAATGAATGACAGGGAATTGTGTTGAAATTTATCGGATGAAATCCCTAAATAATTACTCCGTATAAAAATGCAACTCAGTCACACTGCTATATGTTATAAGATCCCCTTTCTTGTGAAAACTGGTGTGGTACTAACTGACACTTTACAGAAGTATTTAGGACTTCTATGTGGTATACTCTTTCAAGGAGTACACATTCACGGACGCCTTTGGATAAAGAATGCGCAATTCATTTCCTTCTTCTCTAGGTTTATATTTATGTGATTCTCTTGACGTGTATAACCTATTCACATTTATTGAAAGTCAGTTCCAATGATAACTTAGATACTTTTAGTTTTGGTAAGCCAGTAATTTGAGAAGCCAGTTTCACTTCTGTTTTTGTAATGAAAGCTGAAAGGATAGTGACACTAATTTTAGGTTCCAGCCCGGTGGTTACTCTTATAGATGACAGTATCGTAATTTAGTTCTCACTTTGTTCAAAGTTCACTTCTCCAGTTTTGCATTACTAAATACTACCACTGTAAATACCTTTGTCAAGTTAACTTGATCAGTATTAGCTCCTAGGTCACAATATCAGTTAGCACTCTACACTCACTTCACATACATGATATACTTCATTATATCTACAGTTTATTCATGAAGGAATAACACAAGTCAAGTGCGAGTCACCTAGGTTGGATTAGTTGTTTAGATGACTTTTTCTTCTTATCCTCACTGCAGTTCACAATACTGATGTTCCTTAGTTATCATGCTATTGTTTTAATAGTCCACAATACCCTTCATCTGAACTCTTAGAATTTTTTTGCTTTGCTGATTTTAGTTTTTGGGCAGCATACTTTGTTCACTGTTCACCTGTACTAACCGGAGTCACAATTATCATCATGAACAGAAAAAAAGGATCTCGAAGGCAAGATTGATGACAGCATAAGGGAAAAGAAATTGAAAATAAAATTGACAAGGAAATGAATTAAGAAAACGAAAGAGGAATATGTTGACAAGATGGAACATAATTTACATCAGATGTTAGCGTATGCGTGCGTACGCACATATGTGCTAGTTTATAAATGAATAGATAAAGTAAATGAGCTAAAACTAACCAAATAGAATCCTTTTGAAAATTTTTTTGCAATTAAAATGGTTTTAATTATTTCAGTGTGAGAATGATTCTATGTCCAAATAACTTTGTAGTATTTTGTTCTACTTCCTAGTTAATCATTTGAATCCTTCAGTTAGGTTGCAGAAATTCTGTACAAGGAATGGGTGGATATAAAATGAGTGATATGAAAGATGATAAAGTTGTATGAGAGAATAAACAATCTGAATATAGCGGTTAGTTCAAATATTCAAGCTTTACAAGATGTCATGGAGTGAATATATTTCCTCCATATCACCAGGAGTCCATAACCAGTGATTTCTTTTGTCTGACGGACACCAGCCAGGCAGTCTACATTTCCCCACACGCCTCAAGTCAACAGTCAGGGATTTCATTGACTGGTGCCTTGTCTTAGTCTGGCCCACTAACTGGTGTCATGTTTAGATTTCAGACAATTGAGAGTTCTCTCCGAGATTCCTTTTACCCAATATTTCTGCGGTATTTATGAATATGATTAGCTCATACATCCCATAATCAAGAATAGTATCACTTTCTTTAACTGTTAGCTGTTAATCGTAAATTCTTAACTTGTCACTCCAATAGAGATGTAATAGTGGACAGTTTGATGGATTGTCTAATTAGAATTTTAATTTACAAGTTGGTATCCATCACCAAGTGACATCATTTGGAGAATTTTTCAAAATTCTGCAGCACTCAACAACTTTTGCTTTCTAGTATGGGACTCCTCGGCTACGTGTACCCACGATTGCACTGGAGACCGAACCCAAGACCTTCAAGTTTAGTGGCAAGCAAAATTATCGCTTAGCCAATGGGTCAGGACTAAGTGATCTACATTTGCCTACTTCTGTTAATTCGTGATATAGTGCTACCTTTTTCTAATGCCAATGATGAGTATTTTTTCTGATGTTGAATTTGATTTGCCTTGTCGTTCATGAGTTGGCATAAAAACTTCGAAAAATCTCATCTTCAATAATGTTACTAATGAGCACTGGACAGTAATCCACTTTGGACATTTATGGGCACTTGTTGAGTAGTGCAAGTCAGGTCGTTTCCTTTCCGAATTTGAAGAAAACATAAAAATGAAATTATTAAATCATTGGGAAGGTTGTTAGGTTTGTACCTAGTTTTGCCAATTTATTAACTCATTGAGTCAATAACGAACTTAAAAATGGCAGTGTATTGATTCAAATTGTCACTATATGAAAATAGTTTTTTACACCATAGTTTAAATTATCTACAATAATCGGTCATTTTAGTGAGGTATGACGGATAATTACTTCTAATACTGATTGATTTTATCCTAGAAAGCTTACATTTGTGAAAATAGCCCACAACAGAGTTTATTGATATAACAGCTTTTCTCTAAGTCTTTTACTAAACTAGCTCAGTAGCAATGGACGTGTCCCATAGGGTCATGCAAAATGAGAAGAGAAACCTTCTATTCGATGAATCATTATTATAAGTTACGCATTCATATTTATAGTTATACTGTGAAAATGTGTTCATCAATATATAACAAGTCAATAAAGGTCCCCATGACAGTGGGGGAAGTCAACTGGTTTTCGTAGCTTTTTGTCAAGCTTGTTAAACGGAATAGTCAGATCCATCTTTTGAGAAGCTGTGTAGGGGGATGTGAATATTCGAGTTCCTTGTGAAAAGTTCTTCATCATGATCATACCCATTCAAATCGTCGTTCTTTGAAACGATCCTCTCTGAAATTCGCCAATGAGACAAAATTTAGATTATCCGAAACCATGTATAATATCTCAGTAAGAGAACATAACTTTACGAATTATCAAACGATGAACGTGATAAATTTATAGATTATATCAATATCATTGCGAAAAAAGTTTAGATGTAAACAGAAAGTTTGAAAGAACTCTCGAAACAACAAATTTCTGATCTCATTTTTCACAAAATGCAGAAAAATTTGTATTTGACTGTTCGATGGGATATATCCTGTCGTTGTGGCAGTTGAGAACTATAAATGGACTAGATACATGAATCTAATTTAAAGGCTCAATCAACCAGATAAACGTTTTGATTCTAGCTTCTAACAGCAGTCTCAAATAATTTAAATCAACTATTTTAAACCAGTGTTCTCACTAAATGAATACAGAATCAAATACTAGGAGTCTGTTGTGTAAAGAACACAAAGTCAACTTCAACAAAGTTTTGAAGAAAGAAGAGGTATTGTTGGTCCATCGTAGCAAGGGTCCCAGTATAATCCAGATGGATATCAGGGACTATGTTAATAAACTATCCTCCGTAATGGAAGATGAAAATAAATTCTCGAGAAAAACTGTTCAAAAAGACTACTGAACAAACTCGGAGTATCACGGAACTTCAAAATGATTAATACAACTCTTGAAGCCTCTCCATAAAGAATTAGTAAAACATCGATTGAAAGATATCCTTAAATTTATTGAAAAGGTTGAGGAGCTGACAGTAGGTGAAAAGTTCATGATATTATGTGACATTTTTATCTCCTTTTACTAATGTTCTTTTGATGAAAATAGCAGACTTTATTTGCAGCGAACTAAGCCTGGCATTGAAATAGCTATTCTTGTCTCCACCTTGAAACAAGCATTTCTGGGATGCATGATGAATGTAGACTTTTTTTTAGACAATGAACTCTATGGGCAGTCTCATGGTTAGGCTATGGGGTTACTCTTTGACCCACTGTTAGATTTTTTCTGATAAGACTGGAGAATGGTTCTTTGAATGAAACGATTACCCAGTTGGAATTTTATTGCCGTCACATGACGGTAATGAGTTCACTAGTGTTCATTCGGTGATCAAATTCACAATAAAAGGGGAGCGAAATGACAGTATTCAACTGCCTAATGTTTTACTGGTAAGAAGTTTAGATGTAACTCTTAAACGAAGTACATATAAGAAGTCAAGACCGACAGGCAAATATATGGACTTCCTTAGTGCCATTCTCCTCCAATACAAGCAGAAAGTGGTGAAATGCTTGGACCAAATTGCAACGGTTCGCATCATCATAGAACAAAGTATAGAATGACAGTCAACTTTACCTCAACTTCAACTCTGAAAAAACCTCCGACAGCGTTGACCGACAAGTAATTTGACAGTTGCTTCAACACTACAGAATACCACAAACCTTCATCAATCTCATTCAACAAATTAATGAAGACGCCAAATGCCAAGTAATTCACAATGGGAAGCTCAGTGATGCCTCTGAAGTGAAGTGAAGACAGGAGTAATATAAGGCTGCCACCTCCTATCACCCATGATATTCCTGATTGTAGTCGACTGAACTGGATGATGCAACAAACAGTGAGGAGCGAGAAGAGGGGTATAGGCTGGCTGGACAGGGGAAAATAACCTAGAAGATTTAGATTTTGGTGATGACTTGTATCTAATGTCTCGTAGCACAAAGTTGAAGATGTACAGGCGAAAAGTAACAAGTTGACAGAAGAGGCGGGGCAGGGCAGGACAGGGCAGGGCAGCGAAGACGGGACTTCTATCAGGTGAATGTTAGACGACAGAGGTAATGAAGATACCCAACCAACGCCACCACCACCAACAACAACAACATGCGCCAATCATCATCAACGCGAGAAACTTAGAGAGAGTAGCCTCTTTCACCCACCTTCGTAGGCAGCATCGTTTCAACTACAGGCAGCACAGGCACAGACGAGGACGTCATAATCAGGATCGGAAAGACAGCAAGACAGGCCTCCTTTCATTAACCTGAAACCAGTGTGGACATCTTCCTCACTCAGCATAAAGTGTGAACAAGATCCAGATTTCCAACACTAATTCAGTCAAGTCAGTGCTTCAATGTAATTAATGGTTCAGAGACTTGATGCGTTACGAAAGGCATTTCGAACAAACTACAGATATTCATCAACAATTGCCTACACTGGCTCGTTACTGAAGACCAGATGACCAGAAAGAATAAGCAACAAGGAGCTCTGGGAACGAACCAACGAAGCAAGAACCTACTACCCAACAAATATGCACTGGAGGAAGGAGGTGGAGATGGATTGGATTGGGTTGGATTGGGCATGCACTGATAATCCATTCAGGGACATCACGCTCCAGGCCAGGCACTCGAATGAAACTCAGATGGGAAGTGGCGAGTTGTGCGTCCGAGGTGAGGGTGACATAGAGGAGATTGTGTGAGTAAGAAATGAGAGCTTGTGGGCTATCGTGGAGCCAGGTTGAAAAGATTGCAGAGAAGAGAATGGGATGGAGACGTACTAGTGAAGCTGTGTGTTCCACTAGGAACCCAAGGGATAAATAATAAATAATAATAATAATGACATATAGAAAGAGTTCGCCCTCATCCGTGACCTGTTTAGTAGGAATGACTATCCAGAGAAGTTTGTAAGTAAGCATCTGAATGTCACGAAGGTTAAGACAAGAATGGCAGCATTTCCTCAGGAATAAATCTCCTTGAAACTGAAATCCATGAGTAGTAATGTAAGTAAGATCATCACACAACTCATTAAAATGGCTTAGCAAAATGCATTCCCAGCTTCTGAATTATGTTCCATTCTCTACAGCTGCGAGATTTTACGTGCAAGAAATAAAGACAGACTGGTTCGGCTACTTCTATATGTATTTGCCAGTTCGACTGGTCCTGCGAGGCTAGTTAGATTGGGGGTGCGTGAGGCACGCCCACTGTGGAATTCTTGAGTACCATTCATCATATTTAAATTTGGGACAGATTAGAACAATATTTAGCTTCATAACTGCACACACTTGACACTGGAAATTTAGTCGGTGCTAGTAAAACGTCTAAAATTACTTATCGCATAAAAGTTAATTTCTCACGTAGATTAAGCATTCACCTACTTCATATGGCAGAGGCGATTGCGATCCAGTTTTAAAAATCTAATCTTTCTATTCAAAAGAAGTTCGCTCAGCCACTTGCATTACCGTGGCGGTCAACATGATGCAACTTTTGTATTACGTTGTACACTTCCTTCCCCTCCTATTCTGTCAATATTTATTTGGTTTCTTATTCCTACGTAATTATTTATTGTTTATGACTGACCAGTTGAGTAAAG